GAGGGGGGTGGGAGGGGGAGAAAGGGCTTACTGCGCGTGCGCGGGAGGCACGCTGTTGGGGAACGGGGGGGCGAGGCTACGTGCTCGGCACGTGGGGGTGGCACGCGGGGGAGTGAGGCGGGCGGGAGCGGGCGGTGGCGCCTGCGCGATGGCGCGCGGCGGCCGTGAGGGGCGGCCGTTCCGTGAGGGGCGGCTTCGTGACCGGGGCGGCTGCGCGGGTGCTTTTCCTCCATCTGGTCGCCGCTGCTGAGGAGGGTGGGCTGGGCGCAACTGGGCCTCGCCTCTCCCTCGGTGCCGTCGCAGCCGCGGCTGAAACAAAAGCCATCACCTTTTCCCGTAAACGTTTTTTCGTTTTTTTTTTACCGCGGGGATTTTCATACTGCCGTCCCAGCATCGAGAAATGCTGAACATGTGTCCGAAATCCTCAAATTCTGCCCCAGCAGGTGGCCCAGAAGGGTAAAAAGAATTAATAGAGACACCTGCAGGTATTACCTGTTCTGCGTCTCTCAAACCCTCTCTCAACTGCACATCCAACCTCTCTCAGCCTGTCTTATTTTTAAGTCTTCTTCTTGTCCAAGGTCTTTTTTCCCAAACACTCCCACTCGCACCTTCTTTACAGTTTTTTTAGCAGTTGAAATTAACAGTCTTGCAGATGTATGTATTTTTCTTGTCAGGTTTTATAAAACATTCCTTCTAATGTTTTCCTTACCAAAGTGACCGCCTCACATTCCTTCTCCAGATGTTCCTGTCCCCCAAGTGAATCTTCTTGCTCTACTTTTGCAGCTTTTCTTCCTCTGCACATCCATCGTTGCCACCTTTCAGTTGCTTCTGTGTCAATCCTTTCCCTTTTATCAGCGTGTCACATCTTGTCCGTACACGTGCTTGTCCATCAACCCCTTTCAGACAGCGTCCAGCACGTGTGACAAGACCCTTTGATTTGTTCTTCCTTGTCTGTGTTGATATCATCAATAAGACTGACCCTACTGGATAGCATTTTTAGTCTACTCCAAGAACTACTAACTCCAAAACCTTGCCTCGGAGAAAAAAAACTAGAAACTACAATGTTGTATATATGGCATCATCCCTTTCAAATGAGAGGGCTCATGTGTAACCCCGTCTGAATAGGGCCTTGTTTTAAACACTGGAATATGAGGTTTCACATCAAATATGAAATACGTATCACTATTTTGATTAGATACTATTTTTTCTACCTATCTGAGTTCCAAGCCATTACTGAATATCCCTAATAATGAGCACAGGACCATTTCAGTGAAGACCATTGTTTCATTATGTATTGTGTGAAAAAAATTTTTTCATGTTGATTTTGAATTTCTTAATCGTGGGGATTTATGCAAGATAAAAGGCTTAATCCTACTGCTAACTGGGGAGACCAGTCACTCTTTAACATGCCCTTTATCCTTAGAGACTGCTGACAAAGGTCTCAAGATCATGGGGTCAAACAAGTTCTTCTAACATATCCCGCTATATCCCATGGAAGCAAAATACTGATGAGTATCAAAAGGGGTGAGAATTTTAATAAACAATAGAAAAGCAATCTCTCCAATGAAAGAGGAGGATAAATGTCAAATGTTGAGATTGCTTCCAACTCTACTGCAAGGCAAAACGTAAATATTTGAAAAAGTTTAGTACATAGCAAACATTACAACCATCAAATGATATATAACCATTTTTTGTATGGCTAATAGTATAAGAGATAACAAATATCGGAGTTTATTATTCAAATAATTGTATTTCTTTCAGTAAGTAATGTATTCAAGTAGGAGGAATTTAGCTATATTGCACATCATTGTGGCCAGGTCTGCAAAACTTACAAATGGAGAACAGATAGTATAGGGAGGTATTATTTTACTTGTAAGTCCGTCATCTATTTTTAATAAATCAGTTGTTGGACCTGTGAATTGCTAAACTCAAACTATAAGCTATGAGATATATTCGGTTTATGTACAGTTAGTATTTATAAAATGTGGCAATAACTGTGGTCAGATATTCCAGGAGGTGCTCCAGTTTTCAACACAGGCAGATAAAGGATATTCCTTGCTGTCTCAATTCAGCGACTCTTGTCTCCTACATCTGGAGATATATGGAACTTGAAAAGGAAAAGAATGGTCGTGCAGCCCAGTATCTTACAGAGGATGTTATGGCATTTATGATGGAAGGGTGGAAAGAAAAAATATGTTCAGTAAGAGCTGTTCACCTGCTATTCAGACCTAAGTGAAAGAGAAAAAAACTGTCTGGAGATGAGGCTTGCCACCTAAATTATTATTGCCTTTTGAGTACAAAAGATAGTTTGTCCACATGGCTTTGGGAATTTGCACTGGTACTAAAAGGGAAATGGGCAATCAAGGATGTTTATACAAATGTACTTTGGCTGACCAACATGTTAGCAGAGGTGAGTCCTAGCATTTGTCTTTCCAGCTGTGATGGGGTAATAATTACATCCCTGTTGTTCCTGATATAGGTTATGGTATTCCAGCAACTTCAATTACATTTTGAAGACAGCTTTCTCAGCTTTGGGAGTTGTTCGGTCACTGAGGACCACTTCTGTTAAATCCATACACCAGACTTTTAAGAGCTGAAATCCAGCTACATTCCCCATCTCTGTGTGTTAGT